GAGTTTTATAGAGTTGGAACGACCCATAAATCTATTGCTGTCTCGTTAGAGAACGACTGAAAGAAATAGAAAAACAAATTATTTGATCAGAGGATGAAAGCTTGAATGCATTAAGAAAATTTGTCTGTATCAATGGACCTAAGTTTGGCAAGCGACGTTCTCAGTCCAAGATGAATATCGGTAATCGAATTGTAGGCAAAGATCGTTTGCTGGACGCTCTTTAGGTTCTATTTAGAGGACCGTAGACGACGGACGAACGGACGGACAAAGAGACAAACGAAATTAATCGGAGATGCGCCGACGGCCTAATCCAATCGCGTCTATCCGGTCTCTGCCTTTTAAATAGATCAACCATGACTTCGGGCGGTTCTCTCGCAAGAAGTTCACTTTAAACCTTCCGCTTCGAATATACGAGAAACAAGGGTAACCTTGTTTTCAGCGTCACAAATAGCTGTATAAAATGGCTGTTCCAAATTTTGTATCGATATATCTTCCTGAACTAGAAATAACATCCATTTGATAGAGAAATAAATCTTAATAACAATTGTCTCTCACAATCGAAATAAGTCTGATTCTAATCTCTATTCACGAAGCAATAAAGTGCTCAATCCAACTCAAATCTACAACTATTCTACCACCCACATAAAGCCAAAATAATGACTCCATAATTAATAGAAGCGCAATTTTTAATTAACACCAACAACATCATTTGGCGACAGGCTTTGGCGACATCAATTTACGTACAATGTCAATTTGCAAGAACCGGGCTATGGTATACTCAGCCTCATTAGAGGGTAAAGCGGTTGCAATTAAACCGTGCGTCTTTTGCGAGTTAACGAGCAGCGGGCACCGAAATTGGACGTCCCGCCCGCCCTGGACATACGTTTTAATAAATATACATTTCGACGTGGTGCAATAAATATATTCGCTGATGTTATCGCGGTGAAATGTTCGACTCCCTTCGAGTTTAAACGAGGATGTAATGTTCAAGTGATCGGTGAAGAAATGTAACAAATATACTGTTTGTTTTTTAAGATTATTGATTTATCGCCTTTGTTTTTTGGGATTCAATAAAAATTTCTGATTTGTCTAGCTTTTATTCAAACATAACATGTCAAATATTTGGTTTTATTTTTAACAAGTTTATAATATAAAACAATACGTACAAAAACGAACACAACTCCGTTTATACTTCACTCCAATTAAAGCTAGCCTTAAATCATTATGACAGTGGAGTTTAAAAAGTTGTTAGCTTTAACTAAGGGCTGTGAAGATGTTGGTATAAAGGGATCTTGTTAGTGATGCAGCCGGTCCAGCTAACGAGGTCCCTTCGAGATACAGTCTACTGCTGATTGGCGATGACAAATTGTCTTCAGACAAGCAAATAAAAGTAGGGAATGTGTGATGATGACACATGTTCGTGAACTTAAAGGTAAAGGAAGTAAAGTTATATTGTTGTTTTTTTAATTAAAGACTTTATTATTTCCTGATGAGTTTGGACAAGTGTGATCTCGAGTAATGTTGAGATATTTTTTGTCAGTTATTAGAGAATGGCCCCAATGCAGGGTAATAAGTTCTTCACCCAATGCTTTGACATTGAACTCATTACAGAACCAGTAAAAATTGTGTGCCACATTAGCTTAAATCCACATTTATGTATACGACAAAACTCGATGATATTGATGAAGAAAAAATGTACCCAAAAGCCAAAACATAAAATCCTCATACCCACAAACACACCAGCTACCCGAGTACATTTCGCAAAGGACTTCTTACCATTCTTAGTAACACTTTAGTTAACTAAAGTGTTACTAAGAATGGTAAGAAGTTGGTATTTTAGAGGGGGTCTCGTTAGGCGGGCGGGTGGCTGATTGCCGATTGAGCACCAATTGCCTTGATTGACGGCGCCCGCACGGCTAACGAACCTGCTTTCAACGTGGACGTGCCGCACTCTCACGTCCCGTCGACTCCTCGCTTCAGTCACATAGAATAGAATAGAAAAGACGATGGTGTGGATGGAAGAGGTGACATAATTGGCGTATGTTAATGTCATCGCCCTTTAACTATTCTATTTGCTTCGGTATGATCAAAATGTATGTTATTTGTTTATAGGGACCTTATCACAATGTAGATATTCCAAAGACTCAATTTGCAGGTCTCCTTTTTCTAGTCGTGTCTTAGACCTTCGAGAATCTACGTCTATGTACTGAAAAGGCTGTATCAAACTCACATTTTTCTAAAACATTAACAACTCCTTTAGAAATAAAATTCAAATTCTATTGAAGCAATTTCGCAGATGACAGCATATCAACCTATCGTAAACTTGCAGAAAATCTTTAACGCATTTCCAACTTAATCTCTTTTGTCATAAAGTCTAAAATCAATTGAAAATGTTTGTCAGTTTGGGGTAAGACGATGTGTCTACGTCTTGCGGACGCGACGTGTATGTAGGTCAGTTATATGTACCAGCCAGGTTACTGGGCTGATGAAGTGATTGCGTGTTGCTATTCAAATACAACTCAAACAGACGCGTATAGTCTACACTGCTCCGTGGAATTTCATGTTTTCGATAAAATACTATTTTGTTGATATTTGATACTGGAGGTTATCCCACATTCCCGATTGTTTTTTTAAATTATAATTTGTATCGAGAAAATCATTATATTCTTCTATTAACCATAGTCATATACGCATATATGAGAAATAACCCTAAACAGCAGTGAGTCCGCTTTGCCAACTCGTCATGTTCGAAACTAGAGGTGCAACACTACGACAGGTTCCTGATTGCTGACTGGCTCCAATAATTTGGTCCGATTGACGCCGAGAAATCCCCACTGAATTTGGTTCATTTGTACACAATCAAGGAATTCTGTAGCACCTACCGCAGTACGACCGCCTTATGTAGCGCTTATTGCCTACACAAATGAAACATAATCTCTTCATTCAAACAATGCCAGCGCGCAATAAATCATTATAAAATTCGAATTAAGCGAGCTTAATGTTGATGTAACGCTTCCGAGGCTTTTATAGTCGCACACACGAGGCGTAACACCTCGCCGGCTAATTCGTTCGTACACAGTAATCAGTTGCACGTAACATCATCAGCGTCTTTGTGGAGCGAGACCGCAATCCATCATATCGGGACAAAAGGAGGCGGATAAACGCGCCAGTTGTTTGCGTGCGAGAGCGTTAATTTTGTTAAGGAGTCTCAATCAGTGAAGGCGTGTAAGTAAAGTCGGCGCGCGACCGCCGCGGGAGCGATTCGAGCGAATTACCGTACCTGGAGGCGCGGGGCCGACTCGTTAGTTGTTGTTTGCCGAGTGACGCGGGTCAATCAGCAGAGACATGCACGGAACCGCACTTCTTCATCCCCCTCCGAGGCCCCTCACCTGTCCCCAGCCCCGCTCGTTAGGCCGCGCCGTCTCTGTCAACTGTGAGACGAGCTTTATCGAATCTACGACGCACGACCCGCGCCGCGGTCGGCCCACTCTTCGCTCTAGTTTGACTCACAACCGCCGGTAAACAAGGGAAATCAGTGTAAAACGAATTTATATGAACGACAAATAGAAGGGGGCTAAGTAGCGTAACGAGATATTATAGGCGTCTGTGATAACTCAAGGCGTCGGCAAGTGACAAATTACTCGAAAAGATGTGACTCTGAGCTTAAAAAGATCAAAAGAAAAATTGAGAACAAAAAATGTTACAAAATGTGGCACGTCTATAGCCGTAATGAAGTAAAATAATTGAATGGAATGGCATGCGTTTAGCTAATTAACGCGCAGACCCGGACAGCTGCGGTCCACGTGCGAGGCTGCGCCCGCGCCGCACACCGCCCGCATCTTCTACGAGACCAGTCACTTCTGACCGGCCAAAATACAATTTGTAACTATTTCTGTCCAACTTTCTAATACTCTGCTGATTAAGACTTTCAATAAAATCTAAAATTACTAGATAATTATTTTGGTCGCAAGTCGAGGTCTATAATTTTTATTTTTAATTATTGAAATAATAATAAATACAGATGCGGCTAGTTAAAACAAAATAGCTTGTGGCCAGTAATTAAATCGAGAATTATATTTCTATAATCTTTGTTTTATTAGTTTTACTTAATTGTTATTCATGTGCGGGAAGGTAATAAATAATTTTAAAGTACCTACATTAGCTAGGAACTTCAAGTACGAACATTACAATTATCAACACATAAAAAGAGACATGTAGTTAGCTATTTTAACGAAGTAAACAATTACTAACATTTACAGTAATTATACACAAGTGATTGTACGTAATTCCACATCGATTAAGATTATGGCTATATGCATAAAACTAAATGGAAATCGAGGGACATAATTACTATACAACTTAAGGAATTTATTGTCCTAGATTGCTATATATTGTGTAGGTAGTGTCCTTATTCTTTGATTACAAGGACTGAAACATACGTAAACAATGTACTTTTCAACAACGTCGCAGAAACGGCTATGGATATTCATTAGTTCGCAAAGACACATAAAATTTCCATATTCGTAGATATAGCCGCAGCGTTAGGTAGCTAACAGTCGCGGTACTCTGTCACAGAAGCCTGATTAGTGTGGCCCCTTAAATAAAAACTTTGTTGCTTACATCTTAAATTAGTCCTTAGCGTTCTTTAACGAGACCAATTTAGTTGGTCCGCGAGACGCCGTCGATCCGTGCTTGTGTGCAAAACTGTCTACTTTTTGCTCCTCGCCCAGGTAGAAAACACAACGGTTCGAAGCATTTTCATAACAATGCGCCTGCGGCTTTCTCGGTATACTTTTTTGGAGACGATGCATTTGACAGACACGCCATTGTCATCGTCAGATGATGGGCTAAAAACTAAACCTTATATTGATGATCAATGGGAAAAATCGATGCGAGTGGAACACTTGAAATACCGAACCATAAAAGGTACCAATTAGTCCTGTTCGTTTCGTTTGGTGGAGTTGGAAATAATTAGATTAAGAAGAACAAATCAGACTCACCTTGTGTAATCGCTTTTGCATAATATCATTCCGCCTTTGAAGTAGAAGGAGCGGCCCATGTCCGCGAGAGCCTGCCCGCAGCAGGCACATTTGAGGCAGCCGTGGTGCCAGTATCTATCGAGGGCGTGTAGGAGGAACCTTTCCACTATCTTGCCGTTGCAACCCGCGCATTCTTTTAGCGCTGGGTTGTTGTTGTTGTGAGGGTAGTCGTGGCCGTTGGCAGCGAAAGCCGCCTCCGGCGAGGGCGGGTGTGGCGAGCTGAGCTCCGCGTACCCGTGGTAGTGCGGGTTCATGCTCAACGCACTCGCTGCCAGCTTGACGGTTGGAGCGGGAACCGCTCGCTCCGACCACCACAACTACACGCCCTGTGGACAAAAATAGAACTGGTTAGATTAACCATCATAGAACCTATACACAATAGTCAGATAATAAGGATGGGTGGGAAAGCCGAAGCTAAACGTGTAGAAAATTCTGAATTTTGTTTTGAAGTTAAACTGTTAGGCTCGAAGAGCAAATTCCCTTTGACCTCCTCGAGATGTTGACCCGTTGTTTTAATTTTTCTTGGCAGCCCTTGGTCAGGCCGCCGTGGGTTCTGGCGTAGGCCTGCGGGCGGCCGCGTTTATAAAATTTTCCAATTAGCAATTTCATACAATTAGGAGCGGGGTGAGGGTGCGGGTTGCGGGGAGAGGGATGGTTAGCGCGGGTCGCGGCGCGGGGAGTGCGTCAACCCGATCCAATTAGCTCGCGGCCGGCGGAGCGGCGGGACGCCCGTGCCGTCTGAGCAGCCCTGTCGCCATAAAACTTAATTAAACGTTTTAAAACAAGTATTCATTAAAGAATAATCAAGCTTATGTAGTCATAAATAACCGGATTGTCCCGCGCGGAACGGGTGCCGTAATTAAGACTGCACAGAGTTGATCAAACGCACTGATTTGAAACTACCCTTCATTAAGAGAGCGCGAGTCGGGCGCGGGAGCTTCCGCTGCGGTGCAGAAACTAATTAAGAATAACGGACGCTTTAAAAGCGTAATTAATTTAGATTGTAATTCTATTTCTCCGAGAGTAAAGTAGACAATTATTTCAGTAGCCCTTTCTTTTGGAACGATTTGCTTTGCTGAATGTAATTTGCTTAATTTCTGTGTCCAACAGGATAAAGGGTTGTAGCTGTGTCAAGATTTATTTGTAGCGTCGGAATCGACGCTTAGCGCATGATAGACTGTGTTATCAGGAGTTGTGATTCCACGAATCAGAAACTGAAAAACGCATATTGATTAATTAACAGAGTAAACTTCAATTACAATTGGCAATGATCGGAGTATTGCGTGAAGTTGCATCACGATGGAACATCAGCAGAAGCGTGAGGAAAGTCATTATACTTGTTGGCGAGCATGTCTAATGAAGGCTATAAGGGCGAGGTATGGCGTGAATGGCGGCGTACGGTGGCTCTGGCGGTAGTTGCGTGAGTCCTAATGAGCGGCGTCGCGTGCGCAACTATCGCACTTCGTTAAATCGCCCCGAACTACGATCCGAGGGTATTAATGTCTTTGTTTAGTTAATTCTGCAACGCATTAGGCATTCGAATTGAGGACTTGAGCTCTTAATCGAACATTGCGTGTTTCACTTCCTATTTTACTAGGAAACTGTTATGCTTCATCAATGTTTTTCTTATAATAAATAATTTATTCTCAAGGCATCATTGCTGCGTTGTTGAGTAGTCATTAGTACTAATTAGTTACCGTCTTAATCCGTCTTGCTAAATGAAAAATGGATTTTACGAACATATTTGTTTTGATTATTAAACCGTGATGTTACCAAAGATTAAATGATTCCGACGTATCCAGACTGTATTTATCCTTTATTTATTAAATTAATATTTAAACGACAGAAATAGGTGGTGTTCATATATTTTTAAATATACATAATCCCGCACTTATATCTACTTGGATAGTTTTGGAGTCATCTTCAATACCAAGTTTTTGCAACGACCTGTATCAATTATTTTTTTATTAATTAGACCAAGATAATGACTAGACATGGTAATAAATCTTCATAATACGATACTAGAAATTAGTTCATAATGATTATTATACTTTATGGACGTCATAAATATTCAGTATCGGATATTTGTTTACGATTTGTGACTGTTAATTGCATATATTGATTATATTATTTATAATTTATTCAAAATACATATTAATTGGAATCATTTTGCTTCGGGCTTCCACCAATGACATTGAATCAATTTACAGACTACGTGCGTTTAGTGGCATTTCATTAAGTTGTTTTGTTGCAGAATTGGTATCAGATTTTGAATAAGTTCTTTATTCTTTTTTCATATTATTTTGATAATAGATAATAAATTGTCATGGACTCTAGACTGCCTAATACCTGTTCATAAATAAAAACAAATGCCTGTTTTTGGAACACGAAACAATTGTGCATAATTACTCGAACTTATGTCTATTTGAATTTAAACGTTCTGCTTTTTTACTGAAATGAATCTTACTGTCGTCGGGGTTAAGGTTTAAAATATGTTTTATTTGGGGAACGTTGTGCGTGTTTAGGCAGGCGGGGGTGGGCTGAGAACTTGGCAGGTGCCGTTTTCATTATTCAAGCCCCATTGATTGGATACTTTGTTGCCGTTTAAAAATCTTATTAGCAACCGCCCGACAACAAAGCGGTGCGATGAGCCTCCTCGGAGCCCCTCTATTTACCTGTTAAGTGATTTTTTTTCAATTACCGCGATGAGCTGCAGGTTCCAAACGAAAGTGTAAGTCATCTTGTTAGTGAATATTTATTTCCGCGCTTTCCATCGTACGTCTACTTTTTAAAACATTTATCAGCTACAATAAACGTGATGATGCGACAGATTTCTTTTTTTCGTTGATTTCCCAAAAAATAGATAATACAATGACAAACATAAACAGTTCAACGTGTAAGCCGTAGAGGTTATTAATCATACATATCACTGTGACGTGACACAAGTTGCGGAACAAAGCAATTTGTAACAGAAATGTAAAAAACAGTCTAAAAAAATAATAAGTGGGTAAACTAACAAAAATTGCTATCTAAAAAAAGGGTAATGTAAGTAAACGTATTGGTCACTTGTTTTAACTGCAGCGTTTCCCAAGAACAGCCGGGTGCCCGCACGCCGCGAATAATGTAATTAAGGCGAAACCGCCGGCAAAATTAAACGCGAAAACGGAATGAGAATGTGAGCCTAATTAGAGCCGGGAGCGGGGCGGAAGACGCTGCAGCGGCACCCCAGGCCGACCCTACACCGCGCACCGGGCGCCGGGCGTCGGGTGCTCCCTACCGGCGGCGGCAGAGTGCGGCGCCGTGCACGCGGGACCCAAACACGTGACGTAACGTCTTAATCTACCGCACACTAAGGTCACGTATGAAGCCAAATAATCCACCTAATGATGTGGCCAAATTAAAATCCAAATTAAGAAGCCCATTCAAAAATGCCAATTAATTTTAATTCCCAGCTGAACTAATGACAAACAACTACGCCAGTAATATTAATTCTGCACTAATGAGCCGCGTTTTAACGAACCTATAAAATATTAGCCTTTTTTCTGCTTTTTATATTGCACCACGCAAATAATCACAGCACAGCGCACGTCGGTCGCAAGCATAAATCCAATTCGTTTTCTCTCACATCCATACTAATTAAAAAACTGCGGACAAATTGGAGCCCACTCTTCGCCCACGGGAACATAAAATATCCATTCCATTGACGGCACAGGTCTGCCATTGATTAATTTTATCCAATCGGATGCGAATTCAAGTTTTTCAGGAGTTAATTGTCATGCTTCATTAGGTGAGAGTGACTTTCAGCGCTGTGTGCGATTACAGGTTTATACTTTGATTATGTACGAGTTGTATTCGATTATTGAAGATTAAAATATCGAGTCATGTTGTTGAGAAAAGCGACAGCTATATGAATGTATCAGCCCACTTATAGTAAACGGGTATGGAGTACATGAGACTAATGTGTGTAATATTATTTGCATATAATGACCGTTAATGTGGCCAGCGCATTATTCATCCGGCGTGACCTCAAAACGGCCGCAAGAACCGTTTGATCGATGTACATACATTCCCTATACATCTGTGTATTTTAAAATGGTTATTCCATGATAGGTGGGTAATTACTAAAGAATCACGTAGCACATAGATAATTTTATAGAGACCATGAGTGGTAAACGACGTAATTGACGCACGACGGTATCAGAGCCTACAAAATTGTGTGCCATATTCTAAATGATGGTTATTATGCGACTATTAAATAAAATACCGCATTTAAATGTTTGGATTTGTTTTGTATCGTGTTGTAAATGATTGTTTTAGGCAAAGAACTAGAAGTTATCAAGCACAATATAACATATTTGTTTAAGAAGATGCACTTTGAAAGAAAAGAAACAACGATATCAATGGCGAATAAAAGGATTTTGCAAAAGAGTCTATTTAAGTGCATTGTTGTGCTAATATGTAAATTGATAGTACTATAACACTGATCAGTTGTAGATTTAAAGAAAGAAGAAATGTTTAAAATACCAGCTGTTGGGCAATAGATTCGTCATTCGAAAATACACCGAGTCGCAGTGAGCAAGGTAAAACTGCAAGTAATAATCAGTCAAAACATTTGATGTAATGTACTATTATAATTAATTGCATTATCTACACCTACTCTTTATCAGCGTACATTGAACACATCACAAACACATTAGACCACAAAAACTGGAACAAGCACCTAACCTTGCCGAAGTAAATTAATGATTTGTATCTACTAAATTAAGTACCAAGTCAATTTAAAAGAACAACTAACGTCCTTGTTCAATTTACTGTTATTTTGACTGTTTTGTATGTTTCTGCTTACCATAGTTTTAGGTAATTATTATCATTTACCTTGTCACTCAGTTGTGTCAGGGTTTTGCATGAATAGTCAGTATTTGGAAACACACCGTCCTTGCTTTGTTACTAGCTTTACTGTTTAATAATTAACAATTCACGTACACATATAACTGACAAAGACACAGCACATTGCCCACTATATTTTTGTTTAATACTCGCTCGTTTGCTACACATACTTTTATTACACGATAACTTTAATTTACTGCCAAGACACATTGCTTGATACTTCATGAATATTCTGGAAATGTTAATTTTAATGTAGAAGTTAAGTCATTTATAGCCGCTACAATTAATAACTTGCATCACAGAAATTTATTCCTGCATGTTTATACTTAACATATTATTAATAATAACTTACAAGAGTCATGTTCACGAGTCATTAATTCGTTAGGGTCTTTTGAGGAACTTACCTATAGTAATAAAACTTTGAGTGAATGAACTAAAA